TATTTTATATAACACTTCAAGTTGATAGAAATTATAAACACTAATGTTAATGAATTAAATATTCAGGATAGGTAAAACCTTATAAGGTTCTCGATATTTTTTCTAAAGAATTTTTAATCACTACAATGATACGCATTATTTTATTCATTTTAAAGCTTTAATTTATAAGTTAGTGATGATACTTTAAATAAGAGTAAAAAATAAGCACATAATTTATATAATAAAATGTAATTATGTATAAGATTAAAGGAAAGTTAATCAATTGAAAAAATAATAATAAAAGTATTGTATGACCTAATTTTAATTAATTTGAAAATAAAAAATGCCAACTTCTAGATAATTCAGCACCATTGATATTGGATCATATTTTCATCTCATAAAAAATTTTTAATGGAAGTTATTTTATTGATGCATGATTAGTAATTTTTATTTTCTTAGAAAATGCTCATAAATTAGCTCCTTACCACCTTTTCTGGAAGCATCATTTCTGTATGGCGCCAAGATATGTCCCCTGCATAGCGTTCAAAGATGCAGAAGACCTTAGGAATCAGCACCGGGTAGCCATCGCCATTAGCATAATAGCCGTCCATGTACTCGGCGTTGGACGGACAGTCAATCATCGGCACAAGGGAAGATGATAGTGGCCCGAACCCGTACTCTCCATTGTCGAAGAATGTTTTGAAATACCACTCCTCCGATGGGTCCATATAAGGTACATGCACCTCCGAGACATATCCTTTGTAGAGAACGCTACGATATTTGTTTCTCTCCCCATTCTCGACAGCGACTGAGGCATCGGATATCACCATACCAGCCCGAGTATCAAATCCCACATGGAAAGCCCAGTTTGCCCATCTGTTCCACAAATCCAGTTTAGTTAAAAATATTCTATAGTTGTCTAATTTAAGAGAAAATATTAAGTGTATGTGTGAATGATTATGTGTATTTTTTCCTATTTTAATGTAATGTATTTGAAATTTGTATTGATAAAAAAAAGCCATTTTTTTCTTACTAAGTATAAGTTTAAGAGGGCTGGTGAATGGATACAATAATAATGTATAGTTCATCTAATTTATAAATAAATACTAAATTGTTTATTTAGATGGCTCAGTTTATGTAATATTTATAAATAAAGATTAAAATTGATTATTAAATTATGCAGCCAACTTTAGCTGCCAGCCTGCCAGGTGCCAACCGATGGAATAAACCTTTGGTTGTTTTGCTCTGTTTGAAGAACGAGAGATGGAGCTGGTTTAATGACCTGACTATGTTGCCATTGATTATAAAGCCCTTCCCCTCCGGCTGCGCCACCACCACCTGCTTCCCTCTTGGCCCATAGGGTGGCATCTGCCTCGAAGCCCTGTAGTCCGTCCCAGACGCCGCCGGCACCTGAACAATGAAACGGTCCTTGTACTCCATAATTTCCATGGCTTCCAAATCAGCCAACATTGTTATCCCCTCGAGAGGCCTCATATAAATATTAGGCGTTTCGCCAGCCACAAAGCACTGCAGCTTGATCAGTCTCCGCCCTTCCTTCTTGCCGTACCACCCAATGGTGAATGTGCTGCAGATGATGTCGCTTAGCTCAACCCCTCTCCTTTTCACAGACTCCACAAAGGGAGTGTAGTTGAAGGGTAGCAATAACACAGCATCCTGCTCCTCCATGTTAAGCAGTGGGTAGCCATTTCCCAAGCGCACGTGCTGCGACGCGATACAGTTGTTGGCGATGTCGATGTAGAGCTCATGGGTTTGGCCGCCGGAGCGCAGTATTACGAATGCCTGGCGAGGAAGGATGGGGTGGGCGGCAGGCCTGGACTTCCATGAGAGGAAGGTTGCTTTGTCGGGTTCTTCCAGACCGACGTAGTGGAAGCCCGTGCTTGAATTCATGGAGGAGCCGAGCGGAGAGGATTTGATGATGCTGCGGATGGCGGAGATTTCAGAGGGCGTGAGTGGATCAAGCGGGTGCGGATGACCCAATGATAGGCAGAGCAAGCTGAGAAGGGCAAGGAGATGGAGGACCCGGATAGAAATTGGATTCATCGCAAGACCGATCACTCTTTTTCTTGCTGCAATTCTGAGTTTGCCGAGGCGTCCGGTTCTTTAAAAACACTGCGGGTTGCAAAGTAGTGTGTGATTTGAATGCATTTGAAATATTTTATACAAACATTATGTAAACATTTGATTCACGTTAATTAAATATAAAATATTATATATATATATATAATTATTTTCTTTATGTTGTTTGAAGTAACTTGAAAAGAATACATTTAACCACAAAGGTGGAATACTGGCTGTGTCGGGAACAACTAGATAAGACGGGTGGTGGTGACAATGCCAAGGGAGGGCCACCAACTATTGTTGACAACTTGATAAGACAGTGGCGATGGCGGTAGTGGTGATGGTGGCGGATGAGTTGGTGACAACGGACGACCATCAACAACGATCAAGGGCAACAAAATATTACTATTTACAAAACACAATCTTTCATCTATTTGTTAAATTCTCACTCAAATAATAAAGGTTATGGTAAATTCCCAGCCCGTATTTTTCATTTTTATCAAATTCCTAAGGGTTTGATTCCGACACCCATAAATGTATCAGTTCCATAAAGAAAAATTACCTAAATACTGAATTTATAAATAATAATATTTATATTGTCTATACAATTTTAAATTCAGCGAACATGAATTAGGATATTTATTTCAAATTTATTTTTATTTTATATTATATGTATAATTTTCATACTAAACACAGCTTAAAAACCCTCTAAAAAAATTTTACTTGCAACTATACAGCCCTCTTGTAATTGATGCCATTGCCTCTTCTTCTGAAAAATTCCTTGTAATTGATGCCATTGCCTCTTCTTCTGAAAAATTTATTATATCTGGATGCCGGGATGTACGGATGCCGGGATACATCGGCAAAGGGCAGGATTTAGATCTCCGCACTCCTCGCTGCATTTCGACGATTGCCCTCAGATCATTTTCCCTTCTTCTGGCTCCAATTCGGAGTGTGCCCATTGGTCCTGCCCTTAAAAAACACAATACAATTAATGTCATAATGTGCACTAATTTTCTGTTGCTGCAATTCTCAGTGCGCCAATGGCTGATGTCCTTTAAAAACACTACGTCATTAATGTCATTATGTGCACTCTTCTTCAGGCAGCAATTCAGAGCGAAAAACAGCGCGTAATTAATGTCTTTAACGTAATGCAGAATCTCACGGCTTAAATTTGGCTTCTTTAGTTTATATATTGTTCAATTTCGATTTGTTTAAATTTTTAATATTTGCACTAAATTTACTTTAAATGATAATAAATTAACTAAAAATTCAGCACACTTTTAATATAAATTTTATTAAAAAAATATATTTATCAATTAAAATAAAAAGGTCATTCAATAATTTTTAACTATTAAATTAATTAATATATAAAATACCAATAAACTTTCATACAATAAAATAAAACAAAAAGATATTGAGATTTTATTTTATTAAAAAAAAATTATAAATAATTATATTTAATTAATATGCATATTCACTAATACTGAATAAAGTATTAAAAAAAAAAACAGCCTAAATTTTATTTAATGATTGTATACTTATTTTGGATTAAGTAATTAATAAATAATTTTTTTTTTGTATGATGATAAATTATTTATTTGAGAAGTGTTAATCATTAAATATCATGGAAATAAATGTTTTAACTAATTCAACGAGAACAACAACAACTACAAGCCTTTATCCCACTAAGATGGGTCAGCTACATGATTTTTTTTTTCTTTATTGGATCCTAATGATTTTTATTTAATTTTAATAAATGAAGATCATTTTTCATACAATACACCGTCTTTTAAGGGGAAAAATTTTTTGTCCAAACACCGGACGTAGCTCTATGTGCGGACTCCAATAATATATCACCATGTGTGCTACATCGCAGAGATTATTTCATGGTTATTGAATTAGAACGATGGAGGTTATCTCAGGATTATTGAAGAAAATCTATATATTTCACTTCAATAACCTCGAATTAACCCATAAATAATCCCAAAATAACCTTCGTGAATCCACTTCAGTGACCTAGAAATAACATCGCGAAGGTTATTCCGTGGATATTTCGGAGTTATTGAAGTGAAATATATGAGTTTATCTTCAATAACCCCAAAATCACCCAGAAATAACCTCGAAATAACCTCTGTGGTGTTATTTCAGAGTTATTGAAGTGGAACCGCGAAGATTATTTCAGAATTATTTTTTTTGTTATTTCGGGGTTATTTCGGGTCCGCAGTTCCATTTTAATATTTTTTAGGTGGGTCCGATATAACACACATGGCGGTATATTATTGGGAGTTCGCACGTAGAGCTACATCCGTAGTCTGGACAGAAGTTTTTTCCTATTTTTAGGTCTACCTCTGCCTTCCTTAAGAAAAGTCAAATAAAAAACATCTCTCCTAAACGATCATCAGAAGGTTGAAATTTAATATGACCAAACAAACTAAAGATGACTCCTTAATCTTGTCCGCTACTGGAGCTACACCAACCCTGTCATGGATATTTTCAAGTCGCATTATCTCTAAGTCTCAAGCCACTCAACCACTTAAGCATTCTCATCTCAGCAACACTTAACTTTGTTATATGCTTCTCCTTTAAAGTCCAGCATTCTGCTCCATAGAGCATTACAGGTTTCACCACCATCTTATATAATTTTCCTTTTAGTTTATGTGGTACTTTCTATCACACAATAGGCTCGACGCATTCCTCCACTTCAACCAACCAACTTGAATTTTTCTAATAACATCCCCATCTATATGATGCGCCGCTAGCGTGTGTTATTTTTATGCGTGTTTTATGTCAGTCAAATCCTTGGTATAGTGCCAAAAACTTGACCCGTCCCGAAATTACGCAGTAATTTAGTTTTCAAAAATATGGCCAATAACTTGACCCAATTTATATTAAGTAGTTAATGTGCAAAATTAAAATGTTATAAAATATAACAAATAGTTAACACACTATAGGTTCTACGCAAGTGCACGTATCGCTTCAAGTAATATAAAACTTTCTGATTAAGCCCCAAATACCGATCCCACGAGGAAGCGAGGAAAGAGGTCCTTAGTTAAATTCCAGACTACTACTATTAGTCCTTAGTTTGGAATGCCAATTAAATTGGTGTTTTATCTAGCAACTACTCCTAAATGCGAATGTTAAATGTAAGGATAGTAACTATTCATAAATGTAAATATTAATTCTAAAGATAACCCTTTTAGATGAGTGGGTGTGGAAAACGTTAAGATGTTAAAAACTACTATTCTTATGTAGCGAATTGGATAATGTAAAGGAATGAGATACATTAAATATTGTATGTTCCAATTAGTAGTAATTTTAATTGTCTACCTTGATTCAGTGTTATAGAATATCTTTGGCTAATCTTAGGTTTAGTGTGTAAATATGTGACTAGGCTAGGAGGATACTGGCTACCACTTCAGAGCTCCAACTTCCATTGCCCTGAAGACTAACTCTCGCATTAGTTTTTAAACACTAAGATCGAATTGGGGATTTTTAGTCTGTCACCCAAGTAATCTTCAATTCTACACCCAACAAAGTATATTTCTTTATTTATTTGCACTTAATCCCATGAACGAAATAATCCTTCATGAACTTAAATGTGATTCTCACTTTGTTGTAGAATGCATACTCCATTTTTTGGATCATATGTTTCACAACATATTTTAACAATTTAATTGGCCACATCAAAAAAGTAAATTAAGAGCGAAGTTGAAAAACCATCATAATTTATAATTCAAACTCCTTTTAGCATGCATCCCATTATCCTAAACGAATCCTAATCATTGCAAAATAAAAGTACAAGGAAAATAAGGACATAGTCTTCTCATGCCATTATTTCAAAAAAAAGAAAAAAAAAGTAAGAGAAACACATCACAAAGCACGAAGAAAACACAATGAAAAAAATTATTAAATCAAAGAAAATCCACTAGAAAAGTGTTTCCAAAATCATAAGATAATGAAGAACATAATACTTAGCTTTTTCCCCTTGAAAAAAAGATGAAAATCTCTCCCACAAAGTCTCTCGCGGATCCATGTAACACTAGAACATTCCCTTACAGATTCTCTCAAAAGCCCCTCACTGATCTCTCCAAAAAGGTAGAAATCTACATTTCTACTCCTATTCTAAGATCTCTAAACATTCCTCACATTTTTCCACTCAGACACACCACTTTTTCTGACATAAAAGTACTATATTATAGTGCAGGGATGAATTTCTCAAGGGATGCCTCAAGCAACCTTCCAAAAAGCATCCAAATACATTGAATCTTCTATAAATTCACACAAGATTGCATCCAAACCATCTCAAGAACTATCGGTGCCCTTTTGTACATGGTCGAGGCTGTTTTGGCATCATTTTCCGCACTTTGGTGCTATCAACACCGGTTCTGGCACAGTTGGCGCCCACCCTGCGCAGCTCCACCATTTTGTTTCGTTTGGCTCCGTTTTGCCCCGTTTTAGTTGCATTGTGTTCATAGCAGATATACCTACAAAATAAGCATAAAAATAACCTTACTTTAAACTTTAATTTCATTAAAAAATGTTTGAGAAGTGTAAAAGAGATTAAGCATATATAGACATATAAAAATGTGCCAGGACAAAATTTTCTTTCTTGCTCGTTTTTACTCCAAATTGCATCGCTTTTGCTTCTTTTTCTCCAAAAATCCATTTCTTGTCCCTGAAACCAACAATATGCAAATTACCTTCCTTTAAAGTGTAATATCATTAAAAATCATTAAAATTGAGCATCAAATATATATGAAAAAAACAGTCATTTTTTAGGCGTATCACTATATCACCATCACTTTAAACAATAAAGTGAAGATATCTAAAATATTCACTCATTTTAAGAATTTGATCACCCATAGTTACAAATCTGTCACTAGAGCTACTACTACTAAAATTTCATTCCCCAAACGAAGGCCTTTAGACTCCAATGTGGACCTACATAATTTAAGCTTTTCCTGAAATCTTTCTCTAGCCCTATCCACAAGAAGGATATCATAAATGAAAAGCATACACCAAGGTACATCCTCCTGTAAATGTTCAGTAAGAGAATCCATATCTAAAATAAAAGGATATGGGC